CGTTGAAAATCCATTCCAGCTTCTAGTAAATATACTGGAACTTCCAGATACTTAAGGTCAGTTACAATCCTGTTTTACAAGCAATAGGAGTCATAAAATCAAAATGGGTCGAAGTCTTGAGTTCGATTTTTTTATATAGTGGTGCTGAAATTAATTAAAAGTGCCTCATGTACAGTTGATATTTGACCAAAAACCTTCACCACATACAACCTAAAATTGTTAGGCAACACACAATTGACCTAGTTCCTCTGATCCAAGCCCCCCGCCTAACTGCTTAGATCTGTCTTTCTCAGTCTCGCAGACTGTTTATAACAATTTAGCCGAGTCATGGCAAACGATCTGAGCTAAAGAAATCAGCATGCAAAATTATATTTAATAAACGGTTTGCGTTGCACTTGCTTTGGAGTTTTCGAGTTTTAGGGAGGGGCAAGAGGTTGGTATAGGGGTAACGCATCAATTGCTGGTACAAAAATATGTGTACATAAGTTCAGACGTACTTTGTAAGTGCACTTAAAAAATAGTTATACAAATAGGGAATTACAAAATCGAAAAAAAGCTTAAGATATGGAAAAGTTTATACTTTTAGATATCTTTTTTTTTTTGATTAAATAGAGCTATTTAATTGTTTAATTTTTATTTTTATTTATTTTGGGGTATTAAATTAATTAACTTAAAAAAATTTACTATGATTCTCTTAAGTTTCGTCATTGATTTGAAGTTTATTTTCCAGATTTTTAGAAAAAGTTTTGTGATTTAGAAAATTAAGTTTTTCTGAAAAGCATTGCAATTTTTCTAAAAGATTTTTTAAATTTTGAAATATATATTTGGGCTTATCAGTTTAAAATAGTCTTCGTGTGGCTACACATATTTGAAACTTTAAAAAAATAATGCTGAATGCTTAACGAAAAAGCAAAAATCACACAGATATATTTATATATAATATTTTTTTTACCATAGTCATATTCTCATTTATAATTTCTTGCAGTGCATTTATACATAGAAAGAAATGCGAGGAAAGGAATCGCGAAACAGAGGGCAACAGCCACAAAGAGAGTACGAAGTGAGACACGTGTTTTGAATTAAATGCGCGCTCCACTCCGCGCGACCTTCTCCCAGCGGCACCCCCATTCCGCCTCCCATATCGCCACCCCCTATCCCTTCCCCTTTCCCACCCCTCTCTCCACCCCATCCCATTATGGCCACATTCTTGACGCTCTGTGGTTGTTGACATGTTAATGGCCACAAAGGAAACGCGCTTAAGAGGCATGGCAAAAATAAAACAATACACATGTTGCATGCGGCGTAATCACGTGCAAACATACAGCAAAAACAGAATCGCAACTGACAATTTCAGCGAACCATTAACAACAACAACAGCGGCACATTGTTAACTTGGCTCAGAAGCAGAGCTTCGACCCGAAGCTTGGCTTTTTGTGTGTCAGTGTGTATCTGTGTTTTGTTGTTTTTTTTTTGCGCCGGCGACCTGTTGCCACCGACGGCGACGGCGGCAGAGCTCCGGCAGCGACGGATGCAGAGGCAGTTAGCTTTTTGGGCGCAGTTGATGAACGAAGCTGTTGGCCGAAAGACGCGACCGGCTTAAACTCCGATTTAAACTCCCACCTGACATAAAAAACATCTGCTAAAAAAGTAAAAAACCAGCTATAAAAAAATCTTAAAAAGTATTTAAGTGTTTCTTAATAACAATTCAAGTTTTAGTTGAACTTCCATAGCTTGAAGTCTTTATAAGTCTAACTTGTTTTATATGGAGTGCAAGATAATAACAGAAGTTTAAAAATCGAAGACTTAATAACTGGAATTATATAGTGGTATATTGTGGCTAATTTTCACTTGAGCAACTTAAAAAAATGTATAAATTATTTATATATTTTGCTGTTCTTGAACTTGTTAAGAGATCTTGAAACCGCTCAGTGCAAAATACAATCAACCAATAAAAATCCTTGAATTATTTTCTGTTGTTATACAAAATACCCAAGGGAAATTCCTGTTTTAAGCTTGAAAAGTATTTAAAGCCACGGAATATTTCCTAAATTCGGCCTCAAATCTGTTTATCTCTTAAATAAAGTTTTTTGGGTTCTGCTTGTGCGTGCAATATATCCATTAAGTTAATAGAGTGAACAGCAATTTCAACCGCAATTTGATCGCATCCCACATCTCATCGCGTATATCTTAATCCCCTGAAAATTCCGAGCTTGGGAAGTGGGGACCCACAAAAGGCAATGAAATTCAACAAAAGAAAGGAGAAGAAGATTTCAGTGAAAGTGATGAAGCGTCTCCAACATCCGCATCTCTTAATGATGTCTGCCGATCTTATATGTTTATCCATATGTGTGCCACAGAAAACAACAAAGGAAACCACACTAACAACAGTCAAACTAAATGTTTGCATGTGCAAAATGTTGTAAAAGAAATAATTTGCAACACGAGGACTGGAATTTAAGTTTTGAGACAGACATTGGCAAATTAGTGAACAAGTCGAATGTGAAATGGGTTAAATAAATTTTAATAAATTATTGTTTGACATAAGAGCCATTAACTTAATAACACACATCATTTAGAGCTATTTTTCATTTAAGTATAATTTATCCCAGCTAATTTGTCGTTAAATAAATTAGAATTTAATGTAAGTTTGCCATTAATATATAATTTAGGACTATCAAAATTAAGTATCCAACAAGGTTTTGAATAGTTTCAATCTAATTATTTAAGCTATATATTAAACCAAATGCATTGGATAGGAAAATGAAAAGTTAAATTATTAATGGATTCGGTCCAATTTAAAGCTTAGTAATTGGCTGTAAGCAGTTAAGATTACAATTACGTCGGAAACTGACCTTAAAAATGGTCGTCTTAAATCTGTTAACTATTTTAAGAAAACCAAATGCCCACTTCCTATTTAAATGCAGAGACTATCCTCCAACCCAAACTCACTTCCTCAACACTAAACCCAGTTTAATTGTCTTCTCCATTAAGTGAGTTTACCATACATTAACGGTTTTATGGCCCACCTGGAACTTCACTTCAACTTTTGCCATTCGTCGCGCATAAACAGCCGCATCAGACCCCAAAAGTCCAAAACTCACCTTGAGCTTACAAACACACTGTGGCACTGCTGAACTAAAAAACTGAAAAATAAAATATGAGAAAAACGTCGCAGCATCATTCAAACCACGTCAAAAAAGGCAATTTTTCTCCAACTTTTCTGCTGGTGACACTTGTGCACTACAATTGCAAATTCCCCACATCGTTATATCTGCTTTTTTCTCGGCTTTTTCGCCTTTTCTCTTTTTGTCTTTTGTCTGCCAGTTCCGAATGCTGCACGTCGCCTAATTACCCATAATTTCGCTTCGAAAGTGCACTGAGAAAAAACCACAGCCAGTTATAACTTAAAAATATATATTGTCTTTTAAACAAAAAATTTAAAAAAAATCTTTGCTATGTAAAGAAAATAAATATGACAACGAATAACTTGGAAAAAATGAACTAATGAACAAAGTAGATGTTGTTTTAAAAAATAGGTCTTATCGCGATAAAAAATTCACTTTAAAATGTTGTTACTATCTAGTCTATTTCTACGGGAATATAAGTTATAACTTAAAAATATATTTTTTCTTTAATATTTAATATTTTAAAAAATCTTTGTTAGGTAAAGAAATCAAAGTTGATCTTCAATAACTTGTAAAAAATGAAATAATAAACAAAGTTGATGTTGTTTTTAAAACAAAGGTCTTAGGCGATAAAAAAAAATCCCTTAAAAAATTTTTTATCCATCTAGTCTATTTTTTGGGAATTTATACAAGAGGCACATGTTGTAGGATTTTTTTCCCTGAGGGTAGTCTTCATAAAAACCTTAAGATATTATTCATAAAGTTGTAAATTAACTTAGTTTTTTCAATGCTGAATTTGATACATATATTTTTTTCCTGGTGTACCTACCACAATTATTTTATCTGTAAGACACAAAAATAATTTATACAAATTTGAATATTTTTTCTTCTATGTGTAACCATTAAGAAACCACAATAAAGACCACCTAAAGCGACGGAGTTAATTGAAGACCAAACCAAACCGAGCTGCAAATCCACTTCACTTCACAGCCTCTGTAGATGTGCTGTTAGGTCCGAAATAAATAAAATGTGCACCGCTGGCGTTGCGGCTGATGATGGTGGTACCACTACTGGTGGTGCTGATACTGCGGATAATGGTGGTGCCGTGGCCACCCCAAGTTCGACGGCCTTGAACCCCCCACAGGTAAATACATATTCCATATACCCATCCACTCGCACGAATGTGGTCAAAATACATATGGTTTTTTTTCGGTTTTCGCGCTTGATTCGCTTTGTTGTGCTCACTAGGTGGGTCGGTATCCCCCAGCCCCGCCCCTCGTCATGGAGTTGAACCTTATCTGACAACAAAATAATACTCACGTTGCCATCAGAAACAAACATCTACGAAAACCGCAGAAAAAACCGAAACCAGTTTACTTTTGGCCCGGTGATTTTAACCGGGACTAGGTCTGGGTCTCGAGTATTATGCGATCGGTCATCTGTTCAGATAAAGCTCATAATCAGGTTTTATATAAAAGATTATTGCAGCCTAAACTATGTCTTTTTGTTGAGTTGGTCAGAAACGACTTGAAAGTCAAGATCAGGGTGAATTCAAATGGCTGTTAATGGAGGTTATTAAAATGAGTTCAGTTAATGGAGAGAATTCGTCTATAAAGAACTAGTTTTAGTGCACTTCAAGATTATATTTAGTTAATAAAAAGTACATATGACCTATAAAATTTTTTAGAAGACTATTTTATTGAATTGCAGATGAATAGTACCGAAGTTAAAGATCAGATATTATGATATACTTATATTTTATGAACTCATTACAGAGATTACCTAGCCTTATACATTATACATTAATAAAACATTTTTTAACTAGGAATAGGGAAACCCCCCTCATAAAATCGTATCAGTTTGTTTTCACGAGAAACCGTCACACCTTTTAAAAATTCAATGTTACAATACTTCCCCGAACCAACTGTCAGTTAAATAGGAAAAATCGCCCAAAACAAACAGATAGACGGCTGAACCATTCAAGCGCCAAGGGTCGAAAGAGTTGAGCAAAGATTTGCCTAATATGATGACGGGCAGCGATAATGATCCGTTGGTAGAAGACGGTGGTCTGAACGTCACGCGGCATCGACTGACCATTTGGCACAAGGTAATCGGTAGTACCCCCTACAGATCCCAGATCGTAATATATAGAACTATATATATATACAACTAGATCGTTTTCTTTATGCTGGGACTGATCTCGGCGCTGACCATATGCGTTCTGATCCGATTGTCGAACCAATTGGCCTCCGATGCCGAGAAAAAGGCTCTGATGCACTTCCGCGAGCTCTCCTCCGGTCGTAATGCCCACCGATTTGGCCACTAGATCTTGTTTATCCACATACCACTCTATATTTTTTGTGTGTTTGCTTTTCACTGTTTTGGTTTGTTTGTTCGCAAATTGCTTAAATAAAGTGCTAATTGATTGATGCGGAAAAAGTTATGGGGCAGCGGTGGCTAGAGTGCAAATTAAACAACAAGCAATTAGCTGAAGATCAGGAAAAGCTTTGAATAAACTTCATCAAGAGGGGTTAGACTGAGGGGTTATTTTGTTTATTATCCATCACCCGTATCGCGAGGGCTTACGCGGCGTATGAGTGATGCAGCGGAACTGCCTGTCTCTAAAATGACATTATGCACACATTGATAAAAGTACATCGTATAGTACTATTTTATTTTTCCATTTTTAGGTCACTTCAAAAGCATTTTATCATAAAATCATAATTAATTTTAACCTTAATCCAATTGGTAAACAATACATGTATATTCCTCTAGTATTATTTAGTATTAGGTTATTATGCCTTTTTACTTGTTTAATGGTGGAACATTTTTTCTTGACATTTTTTAGGTCACCATTGCCATAGATTCACCGGAAACCTTAAAACCACCAAAGAGTTCCAATTTGAGGAGTTCCATTCAATGGATTTTAGCCCCTATCCTAATTGCTGTCAGCGGCCTGATCCTTTACTACCAAGGACCTTGGTATGGAGTGGCCGCCCTTTACGCCAGTTTGGTAGCCATTTTGCTTGTGCGTCCCGGATGGAGATGGTTCTATATAGCAGCGGTCACTACTCCCCGAGATACTGTGTAAGCTAAAACATTATTTAAAAAAAAGAATATATTCTAGCATTTTAGAAATAATTTTCGGGAACCCTTAATAATGATTTTTTTATTGTAATACAATAAAAATCCTAGGTCATATAATTTTATACAAGTTTTTACAAAGAATAAAATAAGTTTGGGTTGGTAGTTTGAGATGCCTTATAGGATATAATATCAAAATGACCAAAAAGCTAAGTTTTTATTTGGGCAAAAGTTTAATACAACATTTTTATCTTTGTATTTTATTAATCACAATTATTATGGGGCACTTAACTTTTAGTATGCAATTTGGAAATATTTCTGAATTTAGACTTTTGTTCATAAATCTCTTTAACAACCCATTTTTGGTGCAGATAGATCCTCCTTTTAAGAGTAATTTTACTTTATAGTTATTTGTAGATTATTATATTATAATTAAATATGTTATCGTACAACCCAAAGGGCCCTCTTTGCCTACATCCGTGTGCTGATGTTCATCAAGCGGCAGGAGCGGAAGAACCTGAACATAGGCGACATCTTCGAGGCGAATGTGGCTCGGCAGCCGGACAAGTTGGCCATAGTCAGTGAGTCCCAGCAGTGGACTTTCCGGCAGGTGAACGAGCACTCCAACCGAGTAGCTAACGTGTTCCACAGTCATGGCTATAAAAAGGGCGATGTGGTGGGTCTGCTACTGGAAAACCGCGCTGAGTTTGTGGCCACCTGGCTGGGTCTCTCCAAGATCGGGGTGATCACGCCGCTAATAAACACGAATCTCCGAGGAGCCTCCCTGCAACACAGCATCACAGTGGGACAGTGCACGGCGGTCATCTACGGGGCCAGTTTCCGATCTGCCGTGATGGATATAGCCAAGGATCTGCCCGCCCACGTGGGTCTGTATCAGTTCAATGACGAGGCCACACAGGAAATGGTGGCTTCTGAGGGTCTTAGCCAGGGATTGGCCCAGCAGTTGAATGGTCTCCTGGAGACGGCTGCCAAGGATAAAGTGGCCGCTGGTGCTTCTCGAGCGGATCATCATGACAAGCTGGTCTACATCTACACTTCGGGAACCACGGGACTGCCCAAAGCAGCCGTCATCACGCATTCACGGTGAGGATTTCCCTTAAAAACTATGTAATCCTCTCTTTAAAAACGACTTCTGTCCTTGTAGGTACTTCTTCATAGCTGCTGGCATCCACTACACTCTGGGTTTCAAGGACCAGGATGTGTACTACACACCTTTACCCCTTTATCACACTGCTGGCGGAGTGATGAGCATGGGTCAGGCCCTGCTCTTTGGTTCCACGGTGGTGATCAGGAAGAAATTCAGTGCCTCTGGTTACTTTTCGGACTGCGCACGCTTCCAGTGCACGGTAATATAGGCTTTCCTTCATCCGAAAACCCTTTTATAACCCTTCTTTTTGTATCACCAGGTTGGGCAGTACATTGGTGAGATGTGTCGCTATATCCTGGCCACTCCAGCCGCTTCTCACGATCGAAAGCACCAGGTGCGGATGGTGTTTGGCAATGGATTGCGACCACAGATTTGGCCACAGTTCGTGGAGCGTTTCGGGATCCAGAAAGTGGGTGAATTCTACGGAGCCACCGAGGGCAATGCCAACATCATGAACAACGATAGCACCGTGGGAGCCATTGGCTTTGTTTCCCGTATACTGCCACAGATCTATCCCATATCGATCATAAAAGCAGATCCTCACACGGGAGAGCCCTTGAGGAACAGCAAAGGACTGTGCGAGAGATGTGAGGCCGATGAGCCGGGCGTCTTCATAGGAAAGATTGTAAGGGGCAATCCCTGCCGGGAGTTCCTGGGCTACGTTGACCAGAAGGCCTCCTCCAAAAAGGTGGTCCACGATGTCTTCTCCAAGGGCGATATGGCCTTCATTTCGGGCGATCTGCTGGTGGCCGATGAGCGGGGCTATCTGTACTTCAAGGATCGCACCGGTGACACCTTCCGATGGAAGGGTGAGAACGTGTCCACCAGCGAGGTGGAGGCGCAACTCAGCAATCTGGCTGGCTACAAGGATGTGATCGTGTACGGAGTGAGCATACCCAACACGGAGGGAAGAGCCGGAATGGCAGCCATCTACGATCCTGCTCGCGAGGTGAAGGTCAGCCAGCTGGGCGAGGAGCTGGCCAAATCCCTGCCCAACTATGCGCGGCCCCAGTTCCTCAGATTTCTGCGAAGAATCGACCTGACAGGCACCTTCAAGCTGCGCAAAGTGGAGCTCCAGCAGCAGGGCTTCAATCCGGAGGTCATCGAGGATGAACTCTTCTACGCCCAACCAGATGGCGTCTATGCACCGCTCACCTCATCCGTATACGAAAGGATACTGAGGAACGAGCTCCGCTTCTAGAATCGCCGGACTTCTCTCTCGGGGAAGAAGGGAAGTCAAGACTGTGCCTAGTGTGTTAGTAAACCGGATTTCGGTTGGATAAGGACCGAGATTCAACTATTTTTAGTTTCGGCAATGTGGTTTATTGTGCTACCAATAAATACATTAAAAATGGAAATATAGTTTTCGTCGGATGAGCAAATACATTCTAAAGCAAATCCATTCCTAGGTAATTGTCATATCTTATTGTAATTATTTTTTAAATGAAACATTAAAAACTTGTAAAAATAATAAAAGCATTTATATCAATTGAATTATACTGGTGTTTTCATTGCTGGTTCTTAAAAATCAATATTTGTAAAACATTTAAGGAATGAAACCGGAACATTTTCAAAATGATTTATGTATTTCAAATAATAATAGTGGGATCACACATTTTAAATACTTTCAGCAAGTAGCATAATCCTGCATGTAGGATTTTTTATCTCATTACTTTTGTATTTTTTTTTAAATTAATTATTAAATTATTGTTAAATAGGAAACTGAGCAATCAATGCCCTGGATTCCATATTCAATCAAATGGGATACTGACTTTTACCTGTATGCCTAAAAGTATACTGTTTAAAATTACTTTGGGGCGCCCTTTTTATTTTTATATTTGACACCTATTTTTAAGAGCATACTTTTAGGCATACTGGTAGAGGTCCTCGAAATGTAAAATGTAAATGTAATTGACAATTTCTTATAACTACAAGGGTACTTAAACGTCGGCTAACTAACTTTTTTTTTTACTTTAGTTATGTATTTATATTGTATTGTATTCTTAAATGTATCCGCGGAATACTACAATTACAGGGAGCACTAAAACGGGAAGTTACCGAACCAATTAATGTTTCATTTGGTTGTCCGAGCTGAAAGCATTTTATTTCCATAATTTAAATGTAAAATAAGAATTGAAAATGTATCCGCGGAATAAGTTAAAATTTCAACTTTTCCTAGTAAATGTGGTCAAAATTTACATGATTAAAGAAAAAGTCCGTTACAAAGCTTTTTTATAAAAGTGTGGCTACTCAAAATCGCGGTGCCATGTTTTTCAAAACAGCTGTTTAAGCTTTGGACAGTTTCCCAGAACTTAAAATATATTCATAAAATTAAAATGAGATAACGTCGAAGATGATTAAACTGAAAAGTTTTAAAAGCAGAACACTTTATATTCTTAACACCGCGGTGTACCGTATTACGTTTCATACTCTGGCTAAATAATTTAGTACCACAAAAAATTTGGCAAAATTATTTCGGATCCATTCTTACAAGGAATATGTTAGACACCGAAGAAACAGTTTCTTCATCTTCAGATATGAGGGAAATAACGCCCCATTTAAAAACAATATCTATATATTCAAAAAGCGAGAAAGGTGGTGAAATTAAGAACCTTTTGATTTGAAGAATTTGCTGCACCTTTAAAAGATTTACTGGTAAGTCAATCCACAATTTAAAAGTGTTTTTCAGATAGTGGCATTAATTCGGATAATCATCCAATCCAATAATAATCCAATCCTATATTTGGAAAGTTTTCAAAATATTTCAGCAGTCTTCGAAAACAACAGGTAAGTAACTAAATGTATTCATTCTTTGACTAAATGGTTACGCGGTCACAAACTTTGGAACATAATTTCCGATTGGGAAATGTACGAAAATTAAGTTCTAGCCGTTGAAAATCTATTACTGGGATAAGTAAGTGAATCACAAATCGTGAGTAATACTAGCACATTTTCAAACAAATTTTCTTATCTCTGAATAGCGCGCAAAGCTTCACAAAATGTGTATATTTCATTTAATGAATGAATTTATAGACTAGCTTTAAATGGATGGTAATCTTTGGAAAACAAGAGGAATATGTCTAGAAATTGTGAAAGCTTTCCAAGTCTATATTTCTCCAGCTTAATCTTATACAGGAAAGCTTTTAATCCAAAATGCAAGCAATGAAGGCGAAACTTCGGTATAAGGAGAGAGTTGCGTTAATTACGACAAAGAAAAACTGCTGAAAAATGCACGTCCTAGAAAGGATTTTGAGAAAGATTTGAGATAGGTTGCAGAGACTTTGAGGGGCTT